GGATTTAACCTGCTGTGGGTGCTGGGAGAGATGAAACAAAGATGAATGAGATCCATGTCCCCCTGGTGTGCACAGTCCGGCAGGGGAGATAGGAAATTTAGATGGATAACAACAACATAAATGTAGAAAGTGATAAATAACCATAAGACTGGCTAAAATAAATGCAGTGGTGGAAGAGGGCAGGTTCTGGAGGAAGAACAGGCATCTGGAAGTAAAAACTAAAGCTACAAGAAAGAGACAGGAAGAGAAAAGGGTACGAGAGAAGGAAAAAAAGAGGAGGGAAGGAGAGGAGAAAAAGAGGAAGAATGGGAAAGAGACCAGGGAAAATTTAAATGGAGTGGAAGTAGAAGGAGAACAGGGAGAACCTTCAGGATGAGCATGAGTGAGAGACTGGCAATTTAAAATGTGGGGACACATGGAGGCTCTGGCTGTTGCCTGGAAAGGCTGGGAACCAGCTCAAATGTGTTAATGCCCAAGATGCTCACTCTCCTTCCTACCAGGAATCACTGGGGAGAATTTGGCAAATGAAAGTCCATTGGCCCCTTGGAAAGAGAAGAGAGGAACGGAGAAAAATCCCAATGCTGGACCTGGGAAATTATATAACATTAGTGATGAAATTTCACGAAGGAAACAGCCACCATATATATGGTTTTCTTTCAAGTCTCCTGTATCTTGGTAAACAGTTTTAAAATAAGAAAATGGAGACAGTAGAACAAAGGGTACATTAAATATATACATTAAATATATTTGTGTACATTAAATATGTGTGTGATACACATATACACACACATATGTATATTTATATATATTGTGTGTGTGAGGGGTCTTGCTGTGTTGCCCTGGCACGTTCTGGAGATAACATAGCAAACATAACAAATTCCCTGCTCTGAAGCTTAATAAGGAAGACAGACAAATTAACAAGCATTTGAAACTCAGAGCAGCATGTTACCTTGGGATCACAGAGGAGAGAACCACTATCAGTCAGTGGACTTCAGGGAAGTCGTAAATGGCACTGAGGTGAATAAAGGGACTATGGGCTTCAGTGAGGTAAGATAACATGAGAATTGTGGTGGATCAATTGGCCCAATTTCATAATCATATTAAGTGTTGCTGGAACCTGGATAGCAGAAGCACTAAAGGCAAATGGTATTTTTTTCCTGGGTCAGGATTTGACAAAGCCAATCAGAAAGAGGGGCACAATAACCAAAGACTTGAGCTTTTGTAGTTGAAATGGCTGCTCATGGGACCAGATAAGCAGGTCTGAAAAGAAGTGAGAGTACAGGAGAGAAGGGAACAAAGCCCAGGAGAGGGTGAGAAAACCTATGACTCACCAGGATGATAGTTTTGTCCCTCTCATGTTCCCAGGAAATCTGCTGATACATAGAGGGGAGCTTAGCTTGGAGGACTCTGAGCTGGAGTCCAAATGCTATGAGCCCAAGGCTGATCCTTTGGGCAAAGGTAGCTGACTGCAATTATGGAGCCTCTTGTGTGGAACTTTATCTGGAGAAAATAGGGCTATGGTAGATGAGCTTGAACAGAAATAAGCAATTCATGTGCTTAAAAAAAAAATCTAAATTCAGCATGGAAGCATTATGGAATCTGTTCCCAGCTCAGCCCAATGGATGCAGTTCCTTGTGAAAAAAACAACGTAGACAAAATAGGTATCTCTGTAAAACCCAGGAGCTGCTTGGGGACTTCTCTAATGGTTGTAAAACAGAGAAGATGATCCTTTCATCCTCCCCATCTCTCTGAACTTACACATCAGAAAACCTTAGTTTTCTGGTAATAAGGCTTAGCAGAGAGCAGGACACCAAGTGGAGCTGAGGTACTCCTAGTGGGAGAAGGTTTATTCATGAACCAATGCCCAGTGGCCCAAAGATACAGCCCAGAGGGAGCTTGGAGTGGGGCTGCTCAGTCAATGGCAGAGACAGGTCAATAGAGAATGGTTCTCATTCTCTACTGTACAGGCAGAAGAGCTTAAGCTTTTAGGCTCTGGAATGACATAGTTTAGTTCTGTAACTTACTAGCTGTGTGAATTTGGTCAACATATTTTAACTCTTTGAGCATGTTCCTGAGGTCCACTGCTTCCTCTAGTGGATGAAGTAAACGAGACATTTCATGCAGTCCTTTAACCCAGTCAGGCTTCAGAGAAGGAATTCCCTCTCTCTGATGGTGCCTCCTCATCCCTTGTCTCCTTCTCACTCATCTTAAGTTTAAATGTCATTTTCCCACCCTGGCGAAGGCATCCCTGAGCACTGTAGCAGACTCTAGGTTGCTACCCAAATTCTAACTACATCTTACTTGGTTTGAACATCTACTTCTCAAAGAATACAATCCTAAAGAGTCTGGGGACAAATCCTGAAGAACTTAACCAAACCAGTCATCATAAGCCCCTCTCTACTCCCAGCATTTAGGGGTGGGGGTGTGATTCAGTTTTGACTAATGTCAGGTGAGAAGTCTCAAGCTCCTGAGAAAGATTTCCCCACTCTTGTAAAGAGACACTCTCTGAACTGATGTGATTCTGCAATTTGTATACGGGGTAAAAATGGGAGTTCATAACCCACTTGAATCAAAGTGTGAAATATGATATATCAAGAACTTTGTAATGTTTTGAACAACCAACAATAAAAAAATTAAAAAAAAAAGAGAGAGACACTCTCTGTTACCTTCAGGCACTGTTCAGTTGCTCCAGCCATTCTGAGAGGTGGATGGGTGGCTCTGGACAGGGACAAAGCTGACAGGCTGGCTAACACAGGGGGAATAACGGAAACAGCCTGGGGCACTCCCTGACATTGCTGAATTGCTGAATTCACCAGGGAGAGCCTCCTGACCTTGGGCCTTCTTGGTCATATGAAACAATAAATTTCTTTATCATTGATGACGTTTTAAATTGGGTTAATTATTAATGGCAGCCTCCCACACTTAAATTATGACGCCATATTTTTTTCTCACATATTTTCCTTCATAGTGTTTATCACATGTATGTTTACTTTTATGTTTATTTGTCTAATGTCTGCTTCTCCACAAGATAGCAGATTCTAAATTAACAGAGGTGACAGTTAATTTTGTTACTATTGAATCCCCACTGGGCCTGAGACAGAGGAGTGGTTAAAAGCATTTTATTGGAAAAATTAATAAAAGACTAAAAAATGGTTACTAGCCTTCCTCCTCCTTTTTGGGTGATATGGTTGAGATGACAGTACAGAATTGCTGGGAGAAATGTGAATTCGCATACTCTGAGGGGTATGATCATAGGTGGCAGTCTGTACCCCATGAATGGCTTTCAAGTTTTCTCTCAATTAACAATAAGAAGTACATACTACATGTTGTCCCAGGGCGTGCGCGCGCGCGCGCGCGCGGGCGCGCACACACACACACACACACATATATATATATATTTAACTAAACTGAAAGATTTATAAAACATTTTTGCTCTTCCTATGTGTGACATACTCAGATATTTTATTGTACTTTTTCTAAAAAAAAAAAGATGCTAGCTTTGACTCAATACATCAAGTTTATGACTCATTAATTAGCAACCCACATTTCAAAAACAACCTGGATTAAATGAAATGTAAGAGCTTCAAAAATTCTCTGCCCCCCCCCCGTTTGTCATTAAATTGTTCACATGTTCACAAAACTTCAGTCCCTCAATTTACATGTCCTTTATTAGAAGGACATAGCAAAGACTTAATTATTTCCCCCTTTCTTGTGGAATTCTCTTTCGCCCCATGAATGTACAGATTCTGGCTTAAGTCCAGGAAAAAGTAGTTTGTATTTTTTTGCTTATTTTTCTCTAGTTTGCACAAAACAGAACTACATTCTTCTTCCTCTAAACTTAATGGCCCCATTCAACAAATTTCCCCAGGCCTCATTTCTATATACGTTTATGTATGCAATAGTGCATGCTGGTGTTACATGAGCCCCACTGCCACCGTGTGGTTTTAAACCCAAGGGAGTCGGGTTCTAACATTCTGGATGCTCATGGAGAATAGACCCTCACTGTACTTCCCATTCCTCAACATAGAAACTGCCCTTGTCCTCGGTAGATCTGCCAGTAGAATTCCTCTGGGCGCAGGAGGAAAAGGGGAAAAACCACATGGAGATCTCACAACTCCAGTCACGGCAAATAGAGCGGTGGGTGTATGTATATATTTAGAAAACCACAACGCACGCCTCAGGAAAAAACATGTACTCAAAAGGCGACGGCAGAGTATTAAATTAACTGCTTGAGTGATCAAGAAAGCTCCCTGTTAGAGACCTGCAGATGCAATTCCGGAGGTACAATCTCTGTCCCTTGAAACTCGGTTCACCCACTGCCCCTAGCGTCACGTGAACTGGCAAACTAACGCAAGTTATGGCTCCAGAGTTTGGGAAAAGCGCGTCGCCAATCTACTCTGGGGTCACACGTCTCCTAGAAGGGCACTGGTGTGACGGAAGAGAACAGGTCCAAGATGCGTACGCCTGTTTGCGCTCTGGGAGGGAAGGCATGATAGGGGGAGCCTGCAGAAACAGACTGGAGGGATGGGGGATAGGGAGGGAAGAAGAGACGAACCCCTCCCCCCGAACTTTCCTCTCCCCTCGTCCCACACACTTGAAATAGAAATAATAATAACAGAAATATGCTACAACCACGATGTTATCGCCCTACTTAAGTTGCCTGGCTGGATGCTATGGGGTATAAAGTGCGGACTGCGGCGGTTTCCACTGGCTTGTCTGGGGAGTAAAGGTTCGGGCTGGTGCGGGCGCGCGCGCCGATGACCCCACCTTTGGGGAAGCGGGCTCCCTGCGGCTCGGCGCAACAGCCCCGACTGACCCCCGCCCTCCTGCGTCCCTCCTCTCGCGCTTCCTCCCCCTCCTCCCCCCGCGCGCCGCCTCTGCACCGGCCCCCGCAGAGGAGCTGGGCGGCAGCACCGACGCCGCCGCAGCTCCTGCCCGCCGCGCGCTCGCCGCGTCCCCGGCTCACACGCAGTCCGAGCGGCGGCGCCCGCGGCCCTGTGCCCTCCTTGCGCAGGGTGCCGCCCGTGCTGGCTGAGCTGACCTGCGCTCGGCTCGGGCGCCGCAAGCGGCTGGGGAGGGCGGCGTGGGAGAGGACGCCGAGACACAGGGGCAGCCACACAGAGGTGACAAGCTGCGCACCTGGAAAGTTACCCGGCTGTCTGGTGAGGTTCGCGGGCTGCGGGGTTTGGGCACCGGCACTTGTGGGGAGATACGCGTGTGCATGCTGTGAGTGCGCTGCGCGGTGCGCGCCTCGTTCCCCACCCAGCCGGTCTCATGCTGGTGCTGACTGCGTGTAGACGTGTGCACGCGTTGCATTCACTCGGTGTGGCAGCGGTCGTTCGGTGTGGCACCTCGGTGTGGATCTCGGTGTGGATCTCCGTGTGGCAATAACAGCCTTCGCTGCTGTTTGGGCCTGGGGGCTTGACGATGCTGTCAGGGTGCTTTGCTTTCCTGAGCTCTTGGTCCCTCTTAGGAGACCAGCACTCAGGCAAGGACTTTTTTCCAAGTCCTTGTAAACTTGTGTGGGTGTCCTGTGTCACTCTGGGCACCCTGAGGCACTTGCACATCTCTGTATTTCCTGGTGAAGAAGAAACAAGAACAAACAGAAGAAAATAAGAAATCAGCCGTTTTGGGGAAGAGAAATGGGTGCAAGTCTGAGAAGAGCCATTGTGCAGATGCAGAGCAGGTTGGGTCCAGAGTTGAGAATACAAAGAAACAAGGCAGGAGGAGTAGTTAGGCAGAAAGGATGAAGCTCAGACAGATGCCTCGGTTTCCTGATCATCATGTTGTTCCTAGGGGCATTTTTTTTTTCTTAAATAAAGGAAGAGAGCAACATACACCTGCTCACCGCCACACCCCCATACATACTGTTCCTTAGGAATTGTCTCTTCTCTTTGCAAGTTTCTATTTAACTCATGGAGAAGGCGATCATCCCACATAACATGCAGCAGCTGTTGCCAGTATTCCTGTTTAGTTTTGCACAGGAGGGTATGAGCTGATATAGTGGAGAATTCTCTTTAGAAAATTAGAGACTGTCCTCTCTATTGGAATGCTGTGTAACTAAGAATAAGTGACATTCAAAGATGATGCCTCGAAACTGTATTGCGTTTCTCCCCTGCCTTGTCCCCACTTTTTTTTTTTTTTGTACTAGGGTTTGAACCTAGGGACACTTAACCACTGAGTCACATCCCTAGCCCTTTTTAATTTTTTTTTTTTAAATTTGAAACAGGGTCTAAATTGCATAGGGCCTTGTTAAGTTTCTGAGGTTGGCTTTGAACTTGCCATCCTTCTGCCTCAGCCTCCCTAGACCCTGGGATTACAGGCATGCGCACTGAGCCTGGCAGGAATGTTCCCCTTTTACATAAAATGTTGATCTCTGACACCCTGAAGTCAATAGAAGTGAGACCAATGAGAATTCACATAACAGTGAAGGCATGTGTTGCCTGGATATTGCGCAAGTCCTGTAATCCTATATTATCTGGCTTCCTTTGGATTATTTCTGTCAGTTATCCCTTCTTCTCCTATGTTTTAATTTTCTCTAATTTCAGTGGTTTATTATCCTGGGTTTATACATTCTCTAATTTCTATCCATGAACCATGATACCATCTTGAAGTCCCTACCCAGCATCAGCTGTTTCTGTGGTCCTTTGTAATAGTTTCTATCCTCACTCTTTCTCTCCCACAAATAATATTCATAGGTGTTACTAATATGTTCAGATACAGCAGTAGAGGCCTTCCTTTCTCTTTCCCCTGGGTGATCTAATCTGCTAATAGGACTTCAAGTCTTACTTCTGTGGAACAGTCTCTTACCTTGACTTTCATCTTTGTATCTTGGTAGACATTCCCACCTTGACAACCCACAGGCATCTAAAATTCAACATTATATAAATGCAGATCCATTAGTGTCTCCATAAAGTGTGTTCATTCTCCTTCCTGTAGTCAGTGTCATGATGGCTTGCTCACAGATGTGCTCTCCATGTCATGTTTGTCGTGTTTGAATGAGTGAAAAATGTAGAGTGGAAAGTGCTGCCTTCCTTCAACATTTCCAAGATCAAAACATTGGAATTATTTTGTCTTCCCTTATGTGCACACCCATTTATTTATGACATTGAGACTCAACCCTGCAGTGTTCCTCCTATCCTCTTCTTTGGATATTAAATTCTCTACATTCTTTCTCACTTTAATGAAAGCAAGAGCTACTTATCACATATCTTTAGTTTTTTTCCCAACCTCATATAGACTTATACACTCTTTCTCTCTTCATTACCAGTCTCCAAAGTTGAAGCACTTTGTCAACTTCAGCTTTTACATGTGTCAATTGCTACATAATTTTAGCTTCTCCATTTAAATTTTTTTTCTAGTGTCTTTTTATTTATTTATTTATTTTGGGTCCCAGGGATTGAACGCAGGGGCACTCAACCACTGAGCTATATCACCAGCCCTGTTTTGTATTTTATTTAGAGACAGGGTCTCACTGAGTTGCTTAGAGCCTCCCTTTTGCTGAGACTAGCCTTGAACTTGCAATCCTGTGTCAGCCTTCCAAGCCTCTGGAATTATAGGTGAGTGTCACTGTGCCCAGCTTGTCTCTATTACTGCTTATTAAACTCTTTTCTACCTTAAATTTCCACAGGTCCCTGAAACTGAGAATTGCCCAAATTAAACTAGAATCACATTCCTCTAGACTGTACCTCATTTTGTTTAATGCTATAACCTCTTACCCAGATGCCACATATGACCTTGCAAATCTTTCTTCTCTTTATTCCTATCACCACTTAAATTCTATGAGCTATCATCTCTGACCCACTCCTATGGAACTATATTTCTGTGTGTTTCCTATTTATCTGTCCATGTAGCTCCCCAAAATAACTGAATGGAATGCTACCAAATTTGGCAGTGAAAAATATAGGATATGTGACATTCATAAAATTCACTGTGAACATTCTGCTAGGAAGAGGGATACTTCAAAGATAATGTTGGGGGTAGATGAAACTTTGGTACAATAAGCCCATATGATTGTGTTCCAAGAGAAAATGTTTCTCCGCAGGATACTATGGACAGAAGAAACAAACAGCATGTTCAAAACTCAGCCAATAGTCACAAGTCATATGGACAGCAGATTTTAATTGTTGCATTGATAAAGAGTTTAGATGTTTCTTACAAGGGCAACTCTGTTTTCACTTCAGTTTTGAGGCATGAATTTATGTGTTCAATGATGGTTAATTATTTTCTAAAAGAACTATGGTGAGACAAGTTAATGGTAACACCACACTGATATGCATTAGTTTCATATATGCTTAGAATTTTATTTAGAAAGACAGTATTATCCACTCCTCTCATTTCAAGCTAAACGGCCCATATCACAAAGAAGGATCTTTTTTTCCTTTATGATTCATCAAAAAGAGGAAGCTGCAATTACCTGTAGCCATAACTTTAAGACATCCTTCTGATTACCATGGAGATGGTCCTTTTTTCCCCCAGTCAAGATGACCAAGTCATTAGAATAGGGTTGGGACTCTGAACCGGCCTTAGTCTGGTACTTATCACCTCTTCCTTGATTGGTGCAATGGCCTTATAGTCTGTCTTATTTCCTCTATGCTCATTTCACTCCATTCCATAATTATTTCCAAGAAAATTATATTTCTACAGGACAGATATGACCATATAACTTGAAAAAAAAAAAACTTGGCTTACATTAAAATCCACATCCCATAACATGGCATATGAAGTTTTAGTGTCTCCCTCCAGTATCTTGCTTTTTTAGATTCATTACTCATCACTTTCCTTCCACCCATCATGCATTTTATCCTGTTCCCTGAATGTACCATCAGCTTTCTTGCACTCATTTTTTAGTACATGTTCTTTTTTTAATTAATAGACTTTCTATTTTAAAGCAGTCTTAGTTTTATAAAAAAAAAATTGCTGAAAAGTACACAGAGTTCCTATATTCCCCCTCCACTGGCTTCCCCTGTTCTTAACATCTTGTAACAATGTGTTATATTTGTTACGATTGGTGAACCAATATTGACACATTACTATTAACTAAAGTGCATAGCTTATATTCGGGTTTATTCCTTGTATTGTACTCCATGGAGTTTTGACAAGTATGTAATGACATATATTTACCATCACAGTGTTACACAAAACAGTTTCACTGTCCGGAATATGCATTTTGTTCCATCTATTCATCTCTTCTTCCCTCTCCCAGCCTTGTGGCAACTTCTGATGTTTTTGCTGCTTATAAGTTTTGCATTTCCCAGAATGCCCTATAGTTGGAATCATACTATATGTAGGTTTTTAAGATTTGTTTTTAAAAATGTCTAGTAAGGCGTTTAAAGTTCCCCTATGTATTCTCATGGATATACTTTTTATTATTGTATAATATCCTACGTATGGCTGTACTACCATTTGTTTATTCCTTAACCCAAACTAAGGTCGTGATTGCTTCCAAGTTTCAGCAATTATGAATGAAACAGCTATAAACATTCATGTGCGGGTTTTGGTGAAGACATACATTTATTATTAGTTGGATAAAAACCAAGAAGTAGGATTAGCTTTGTAAGCAGCTGCCATCTTGTCTTCCAAAGTGGCTGTATCGTTTTACTTTCCCACCAGCAATGAATGAGTTTCTGCTGCTGCCTATCTTTGCCAGCAGTTGTTGTTGTTGGTGTTTGGGATTATAGCCATCCTAATCTGTGTATAGTAGTATCTTATTGTTCATTTTATTTTCAAATTTCTTCATGACATATGATGTTGAGCATCTTTTCATATGCTTATTTGCCATCTGGGAATCTTTGGTGAAGTGTCTGCTCAGATATTTTGCCCATTTTTTTTTTCAGTTGAGTTGTTAAGAATTTCTCCTATATTAGGTAGGTGTTTTGCAAGTGCTTTCTTCCAGTCTTAGTTTCTTGTTTTATCTTAATTCTTCTTTTTTTGCAGAAGAGAAATTTTTAATTTTAATAAATTCCAAATTATTAATTTCTCCTTTCCTGAATTGTTCTTTTAGATTTTTACCTAAAAAGTCATCACCAAACCCAAGCTCATCTAGATTTTGTACTATGTCTGTCTTCTAGGATTTTTATAGCTTTGTGTCTTATGTTTAGGTCTATGATCCACTTTGACCAAATTTTTGTAAAAGAAGTAAAGCCTCTCTCTAGACTTTTTT